TACACTGTGTGTGCTGTAACCAGGCTGCCAAGCAGGAAATATCCCTGCAGGTTGAACTGAAAGATGTGAAACCCCTGACCAAAGAAACACTGGGAGAGAAGTTTCCAAATGGAGGCAAACGTAGTGCAGACTCAGTGTTCAAATTCACAAGCTCATTAATAAGCAATATCATGCATTCAAAGCCAGGCTGGAGGTGGCTCTGGGCAGCCTGGTCTAGTGGCTTGCGACCCTGCACATAGCAGGGGATTGAAACTAGATGGTCACTGTGGTCCTTTTCAACCCAGGCCATTCTATGATTCTATGATAATTTGTAATGAGCACATTTTGTATCTCACAATAACACTTTGCCCTTTTGTGCTTCTCTGCCCCTAGACAGTTTGCCATTGCAGTGCAAAGGCTGCTACACGCATCATCTTACATTTGCCACACCTTAACGTGTATTTTCAAAGCTACTCTACTCAAAATAGTTCCCTCAATCATAATTCACCAGCACACATTCAAGCATCTGCTACCCACCCACTAATACCCAGTCATTACATTTCTGGGCATGTGTACATCATACCTTTTGAAGCACTTGACTTTTTTTCTGGATTTCAAGAAACTACATAGGCATAAAATGCTGTCATCTGGCACTTGTTCAGTACGCATAGTATGGATGCAGAGTTTTAGGTTTTCATAACTTATCCATTCCTATACACATAGGCAACTCAAACAGACTCTTCCAACAGAAGCAACTGCAAGAGTTATATGAAATTTTGGGTTTAATATTCTTTGTATTCAAAACTAATTAAGTCTTTCATTACTGCTTAAATTCAAAGCAGTAACAAGTAAGAACTGCCTTTCAAAGGAAGCGTTTAAAAAAATAACAAGTGATACCTAGAATTTTCAGCAGTAATTTATCATCATAGTTGTTACCTTGCCATATATATGGTAATAAAATATTTCCTTGCCTCTGAAGCAAAAAAAGAAAAGTAAACCTCTTTGGAAGAAAAAAAAATAAGAAAAAAAGGAGGAGATAGATGAGGGTCTCTGAACTTGGGTAATGGGTCTTCCACAGCCAGCTGATGTCCTCATCCCTTCCTATGGTCTGGTGGGAGCCCAGTTTTCCTGCCAGATCAGTGGTACTCTTCTGATTCAGTCGCCTGAAATAGCTGAACTCCAGGCTCTGTTTTGTTTTGGACTTAGAACCCAATATATCTCATCATACGGGTGTTTTTCCTCACGGTCTATCTGGATGTTACTTTTACATAAATGATCTCAATAACTTAAAAATTTCTATTTCCCTTACTGCCTATCCCTCAAATAAAAGCAGTTTTTTATTATACTCTAGTCATCTTCCCACCCCTCTATGTATATACACCGCTTTTATCCACCCTGGAAGTCTGTCCCTCAGGCACAAAGGGCATTTCTCTCCTTTTGCACAGCAACTCCCTGTGAATTGTCCATACACACCTCTGATGAGGTCCCTGAGACAGATAGCCCATTTCCTAGCACAGCCTTCCCAAAAATAAATAAGTAAATAGATCAGTAAAAACATCTCTCCATGTACAGCACAGAATTTGATATTAGCATGTTATCCCCATAGTACCTTCCAAAAGTCCGCCCTGTTTGCTTTCCACAGTTGCTATTGGTCTTTTTTCAGTTTTAGTGCTGCCTGCACTTGACCTCATTCAGAATTCAGCTGTGAACGTGCTATAGAAATCATGATTAATCTCTGAGGTCTGTGAAGTGACGTCAGCAAAAATTAGTGCAAGTGAGTTGAGAATCAGAGCCTGTGTGGATCAGTCCTCTGAATGGCTTTTTTTGTGCTAATGCTCCTTTACTTGTTATGTGTAGTTAGTGATACAATATCTTCGGTTCAATTTCTTCGTATTTCTTTAATCTGCAGGGTTTTTTGCACTTGTATAACACTAATGATCACAAACCCAAACTAACTTTTACACTACCAGTATTCTGAAGTGCTAAGGGTAATGGCTTTTGCCACACATTGCCTGACTTTTGCAGTTTGGAGTTTTTTGAAATATTTATTTCTCTCTCAATGAACTGGCTCTCATTAACTTCACTTTTGACACTCTTAAGAAAATGTATTTTTATACTTTGTCTTTAAATAGTCCTTTAGAAAATCAAAGTGACCACATCTTGCTCCTTACTCTCTTTGAAATTGTATGCAGCTAAGTTTGAATTATTCTGAGGATGTTTTTTTAGGATTCTGTAACACTGCCAGCACTTCTCGTGCTCATCTCTTGATGCTAGATTTTGACTATCTGTTCTCTGCTAACAATGGTTTTCTATCAGTTCTTTATTTTTTCAATGATTAATTTACTTTGTTTTATTTCATCCACTTTAAATCATACTCTTGTAAAGTAATACCTTCATTGTCACTGTTGTGTGGTGTGTTTTGTTTTGTTTTTGTGGTGATGATTTTGTGGTGGGGGGGCTTTTTTTGGTTTTTTTTTGTTTTTTTTTTGTTTGTTTTTGGTGGGAGAGGGAGTAGACAGTTTGCTTTCCTTTCTCTTATAATTGTATTCCTTGGAATTTTCTTTGAAGGCAGAATGCAGCTTCCTGGGTGATCCAGCTAGGAAAGCTTTCACATATATAAACACATACAAATAAATTAATTTGCAAAGTGCCATTGATTGAATGAATTGTTCTACAAATTTAAGACAGGAAGAGCCATTTAGCAAGTTTAGCAAGGTAAGTGGCTAAGATGACAATACTGTTTGGCTTTTTTATACATATTCTGAATGCCTATAACGAGGGCTGATTTTTTAATTTTTTTTTTTTTAATTCTCACTTAAGCTGGTTTTTAAAGTTCAGAGTTCCCACCTGTTTCCACAAGCTTGTCTGAGAAACAAGGAATAGGAAGGCAGCAGAGAGAAGGCGGCCTACAAAGACAATAGGGAATGTGGAACATGAAAGGAAGTCAATAGGCATGAGAATTTGTAGGAACTGTTTGCATATATATACACCCATATATATACACAAACAAAACGTATGCATAAAGAGAGGTGGGACAGGACTGGATAGAAGCAGAGAGAGATGGAGGAAACCAGAGTCTGCTCAAGACTTTCAGTTACGCAAGCAAAATTGAAGATGGGTCATTCCAGCTCTTAGGAACAAAGCAGAATTACAGCATCTGTTATATACAGACTTCTTTTTAAAAGATTTTCTGACACAACCACTGTTTGTTTTCTGGTGCTTCTAGAAGAGTTATGTACATTGGCATCAATTAGCAGATGCATCTACACTTATTTTCTCCTTACCAGTACGCAGTCTTCAGAGCCATGAGAATTACCGCTTTTCTCAGCATCAGCTGGCTTTTTCTTCTGCCTAGATCAGTTTGCTGTTTCTAACACTGATGAGTTCCTACAATAAAGCAGAAATCTCCTGCAAGAAAGCCAATCAGTTCCTGTCTTCAGTGCTACACAGTCTCTCCTCCTTCTTTCTCCCTTGACCCCTTATTGTGCATGCTATCATTGTATATCTCCCGTTTTCATAGTCCAGTGGGCAGTAAAACAACTCATCACTTTTCTTAATAGCAGTTCTATTTACCAAAACTTGGAGCTCTGCATGACTGGCCATATCTCATCCACTGACATCCAGACAGGTATCTTTCACTCTGCAGCATCTAGTCTTTGAAAATTTACCTTACGATTGGTGTAGTCTTTAAGCATCAATATTTCAGAAATGATATAAAAATGAAGTGCACCTTCTTTTGTCTGGCATGTTTGATATATTTTGGTAATTTCAATTTAATCAGTACCAATCCTGCTTTTCTGTAGAGTAAGTGTTGCTTAAATAGCGACAGTTTCATCTGCCTCATTTCTAGCACTGAAAAGGGTGCCACACCATCTTCTGCATTATAAATTCTTGTGGATTCTCTCCAGCAGCCACTTATGACAACTGCAAGTTTGTTTTACCCTGGGGATATATATGTATGTGGCCAGTTGCTTCAGGTCATATTCCTTCCAAATGGAAGTCAGCTTGACAGCTGTTAATTTGCGGTTGGTCATTCCATGTGTTGTTTTGCTCTAATTATTGGTCAGTGTATGGAACAGGTGACAAATACCCATAGGAGAACCCTTTAAATCTCTAGACATACAATCATTATGAAAACAAACAACCAGAGTCATTAAATACTAGTTTTCTCTCCAGCTCCAAACAGAAACAGATTTTAGGCATTTCCAACATTTTTTGGAAAGGGATGAATAAAAAGTAAAAATATTTTACTGTTTATGAAATTAGTTTTCCCATTCTATAAGAATCCTAGTTTCAGGCAGAGAGAGGAATTAAAGGAAATACAATTGTTCAGGTAGCAGATGCTGAATCTGATTTTTGTAATGATTTTTTTTTCTCAAAGTTTGTTTAGGTGCTATTTCCTAAATTAAACTCAGGAAACAATATTTCCTGTGACTTTCAGCTACTATAATTATATAAAATTAAAGCAGGGGAAAAAAAAATTGCTTACTGAGCAAGACAGCTCTTGCTGAACAAGAATGGCAAAACATCACTGAACTGAACTTACATTTTTCAAGTAAGTAGGCTGTTGTAGAGGATATTTAATTGAAATCTGCTTTCTCAGATGTCCATGGCCTATTCAAATCTTAATTTGGGACAGACTCTATAGGGACACAAACAACTTATTTTGTCTTTTTGTGTAGCAAGCAACTCTGGAATTTTTGCAAGATTGTAGACCTAGATGTATGAAAATTACAAATAATTTAGTTGATTAGTGGAGTTATGTTAGTGGAAAAGAGAAAAGATTCAGCATCTTGAAACCTCGGTGAAATTAGCGCTGTTTATCTTATTAGATCTGTGTGAGTTGATGATAATTTCACATGCTCTTTGAGCAGTATCTTGTGATACTTTCTAAAACACAGTCATAATACACTGAGAAAGAAGATTGTCATACGGTGTTCTTTACAAAAAAAATATAAGCCAAACCTAAACACAGCTTTAAATAATATCCTACTTCTTTTATTTTTGCTTTTTTAAAATAGGTGTAAGTGCAACCTTCACGCTACTGGCTGTAAAGAAGAAAACAAAAGACTACTGTGTGAATGTGAGCATAACACAACTGGCCCAGACTGTGGAAAATGCAAGAAGAATTACCAGGGCCGACCATGGAGCCCTGGTTCTTATCTGCCTATACCTAAGGGCACTGCTAATATCTGTAAGTAATTTTGCAAAATAAGATTTTTTCATTATTAGAATTCTGCTCATATCACAACTATGAAGGAAGATTAATACTGGGAAAAGTTTGTCCTTTTTTATGACTCAATGCACGTAACTTAACATGGCTAAAAGCACATTAATTGTAAGTATGCATCATGTCATCATCTGTATTCTACATGCTTGTAATTATTTTACATGAGAACTGCATAGAATCATAGAATGGCCTGGGCTGAGAAGGACCTCAAAGATCATCCAGTTTCAACCCCCCTGCCACAGGCAGGGTCACCAACCTCTAGACCAGGCTGCCCACAGCCACATGCAGCCTGACCTTGAATGCATTCAGAGATGGGGCATCCACAGCCTCTTTGGGCAACCTGTTCCAGTGCGTCAACACCCTCTGAGTGAAAAACTTCCTCTTAATATCTAACCTAAACCTTCCCTGTCTTAGTTTAAAACCATTCCCCTTTGTCCTATCACTGTCAACCCATGTAAACAGTTGTCATGCTTGTATCCATGGACATATTCTTTGATACTGCACAAAAAATATTAAGGAACCAAAAAAGAATCACACCCTTCACATGAAAAAGCACATGTAGGGGAGGGAAACCAGTGGGAATGTCTGCAGCAGTGCTCCAGCTGAGGCTCTCTCAGCTTTCCACTCTGGACTCAAAACAACTGCAACAGAATTTGTCAGATGAGATCATTACTGATTTTTCATCCATTTAAGAAAAAATTTAAAAAGTCTTTCTATTAATAACTATATCTACAGGCTGATAAAGGAATTTTGTATCTGACGTTGACCTGTAATCCAGACTCATGTTCAACCTTGCTGATCTCTAAGAGGAAAAGTGAGAGCAAAAACATTTTTATCTCCACCCATTTCAAACTAATACACGTTAAACAACTTGCATACTCACTATTTCAAATATACTATTCCAAAACGCTTGAATATCATCCAAAGGAAGTTACTTGCAGCTACACTTCCTGATCCTGGACAGGATTAGGTCAACCAGAACATGGTGCTGAAAGAGAGGTTGCACAGCATCCGTTCTTTTTTTCATGCATGTATGAAATACACAACGATTCAAATTCCTCCTGAGTAACAGACTTACATTCCTTTGAAGAAAGGATTAAAGAAGATGAGAATAAATCACCAAACCTTTTGACAGAACTTACAGCTTCTTTGAAGAAAAAAGTCCAGAGTTTTACTCTGATTAAAAGCAAAACATTTATTTCTAGAATATTAGAATATAACAATTTACTGAAAAGTTATGTAAGAGAAACAAAGCTATGTAATTCATTGAATGGAAGTTTAAAATCAGGAGAAATGTGCAGTGCTCAGAATGTTATCTAAGACTTCAAAGCAGCAGCTGTGAGGAATCAAGACTCAAAAATGAGTATCACAGGAAGCAGGACCTTATCAAGTTAAATGTGAGAGTAATAGCCCAAGTAACAAACCGTGAAGTGTGGGGGTATGAAATTATGATAAAATTCCTACTGAGCAGAAAAAAAGGAACCTTTAAAAATCAAGTGAAAAACATTCTGTAAGAGAATTCACTTTTTCCAAGTTATAGAAAGGGAGCATTGCTCTCAGAATTAGTACTTTAAAGTATTGTTTAGAGAAAAACCATGAGATTTACCAGCTTGATTTTATTTATGTATGTATTTATGTATACATACATGTGTATGTATTTATGTATATATACACGTGCATAGGCACATATACATACCATATATATATAGAAACATACATATATATATACACATGCATATATCATTACCCCAGTAATCATCTGCACTGGGGACAAAATACATCTGAAAGTAAAAATGGGGATCTTTCCACATGCAGTTTGTTATGTTACTGATATCATTTAAAATGAATTGAACATATATCAACAGAAACAGTGGAACTAGCACTTAGTGAAAGGTTGCTGATGCTTAAGACAACTTTAAACACTGGAGTTCCATCAGACATACTATTCCATCAAAATCAAAATCATTCTGTTGCAAATAAAAGGAAGAATTTTCTATTTATTATTATTATTGGTAGCAGTACTAAAGCATTGTGAAAATGTAACCTTATTTGGGCTGACCAATGTTTCATCATACCTCAAATCCTGACTTCAGCAGTGCTCACCAGAAGCAGTTTATAGAAAACTGAAAGATGTAGGTGAATGTAGAAGGATTTTGTGTTGGCCTTTCCAGTCCTGAGCAATAAAGAGGCTTTCTGCACTGGAGTCTCCTACAGTGGTTCTAGATTCAGGAGAGAGAGAGACAGCTGTCATAAATTCCTTCTCAGTGGCTTCTTACAGCAACACACTTTGCATTTTAAAGACACAATGAGTGAAAATAATTTCCTTTTGTTTGCTTTTTGTGTTTTTATTTAAGTCTTTACCCCCTTAGGAAGAAATGGAATAATGCAACCATATTTATTTGTTATCCCATTTATTATTTTATAGACTTGGCATGTCCACTTCTCCAGTCTGTTTCCCAAATATTTTTCCCAAATATCTATTTCCCTAATCTATTTAATCTTGTCATATATAAAAGCGATGCCACATCCATTTACATGTGCCATTTCTGCTCTCTTCTGGCTCTGTGGTGACATTTTTTTGATTTGGTGAGCTAAAACTACACATCATATTCCAGACGTGAGCGTAACATGGATCTTTTGCAGTGGCATAAAAACGCGTCTGCTTTGTATTTTATTATTACATGGATCAGCCCTTAAGTCCTTTTTAAGAAGAACTGGTGTCACACTGACAACATTTCTTCTGGCATCAAGACTGACATAAGTGACAGGTTATATGTTACAGTTATTCGTTCAGAAATGTCATATTTGAGTTCCTTTAAAACACTTTTCCAGTGAATACAACCATATGGCAATTCTTATTGCTTGATATTACTTCTATCTTCTAAAACAACTTCTGTTGATGGCAGACTTTTATAAATTCCTCAGTTTGTGAGAATCTCTCTAACTTTTGTTGTGAGCATCAGTGCAAACAATTAGTTTAGTATTTACTATTTAGTATTTAGCATTGTCTATTTACCCAATCATCTCTTTGTGAAGCCTTCTGCTTATGGTGTGTTTATTTAAAAAGGAAAAAAAAATATGCATTAAATTTAAGTCTGTAGCAAGTTGATTCTCCAAGTACTGTCATTTATATTTAGCTTGACAGATTTTTATGCTTTTTGCCTATCTTTCTCTATTAACCTAACTTACACTTGTGAAGAGAATCTTTCTAAAGACTTCTTTATTTTGCCATTTGGGTAGGTTTGTTATGTTTTTAGTGAAGTTCACTTTTAGAATTTACTTTCTTTTGATTGGTTGTATGTAATTATTCTTAGTCTCTCAGATTTTTACGTATCTCTCTGTTGTCTGCATTACATTTGTTTAGATGTTCTTTTTGGTTTCCTTTCAACTAGATTCCTCATTTTTATCTGCTCTCTCTGAAAGTTTCTGCAGTGGATTTTTTTCTCCTTTTTTCTCTCAGCAAGTATGTTGGCTTTCATTCTAGAAGCGGTTCCATGATAACTGCTTCTTGAATCAGGTCCTATGCACTACTAAGAACTAAATAAGCTTCTCTTCTTGTGGGTTTTCTGATTACTTGCTACAAGCACCAATCATTCATGGTATGTAAAAGCTTCATTTCATTGTCACTTCCTGATTTAATCAAGCATCAGTTGTAGCATTTGAATTTGTTGCATTATTCTGTAGCCTTTCTGTAGGGCCAGTGTAATTTCATTTACACTGTTGAGTTTGTGTCACCATCTCCATCAGGTGATCAGTAAACGTAGCTCTAGTGCCATACTCTTCTTAGTTAACCATACATTCTGTGAACATTTTGGGGAACATATTGGTAGAATTAACTTACTTATCTGGTGTGGCTCTAAACGCTCCTTGATATGGTAATTATATTCCCCAGGGATACAATAATTGGTCCTTCATTACAGCAGTCTCCTTTGATTCTTTTCTTCCTTCCAATTTTCAGATTCTACCTTCTTCATCTAAGACAAAATATTTTTCATTTAGAATGGATTTGAAGCATTTTTGTTTTGTATGAGTGCTTAAATAAGATGCAGTTAAAATGTAATTCTATAAATGGTTTGGGTTTTTTTTCCACAAAATAAAGATTTCTCCAGACATTCTATTATATTAGGGAATTTGCTTAGATTCAACAAGAAGGCTAAGGACTGTTTCAAAATCTTTCCAAACAGGAATTGACATAGTTTCCACTGTCCTGATTCTACCATTTTGGTAGCCAATGAGGCTCGCTCATACCTATTCAAGCTACAGCTCATGAAACACAAGAGCATTCTAGGCTATATTCCACTCATAATCTAAACCTTGATATAAAGCTGATATTTGTATCCTTCTCATTTTTATTGAACATAATTTTTGGTTTTTTTTTTTAGGAAAATGCAAAGCATTTTTGCCTGCTTTTGTGAAAAACATCAAAATTCTTCACTGTATACGGATACTACTGCATAGCATTTATTTTATATTTTCACTCTATCTTATTGACTATTTTGTGATTACATTTATTCCCTTGTGCTGCCACATTCTACAAATAGTTTGTACTGCAATATGTTTCGGCACTCAAAGTGAACTTATTGAATTTCTCAGTACTTGGTATTACAAGATAGCTTTTCTCTCAGCAGTCATACGTGTCTGACAGCACCAGCCCTTTTCTTCCTTCTGTTGTTTAGATCATCTCTGGCACTTATGTTCTTTGCTCTATCAAACAGAGCTGTCCGAGACTGTGCTGGGCTCCCATCCATCAAAGCCTGCTTGCTTTTTTGTCAGTCCTCCACAGCCAATAACCTGTACCAGAAATGCTTGACACTCAGCTAAAAAATGCCTCCCAGCTGCTACCCAACTTTGCTAATGCATAGTTCGACATGAAACAAAGCATTGACCAGGACACAAGGAACACTGGTGGATTTTTCAGTGGTGGATTTTTTCAGTGAGAAGTTAGGCAGATAGTCTCAATCAGTTAACAGAATTTCTTCTGCAGCAGGTTCCCCTCTGACAGAACAGCCTCTGTCTCAGCAGCACAGCCCTAATCCTCCCTGAGCAGGAAAAGACTTATGAGGCATCACTGCAGCACAGCTGCCACACAAGCAGTTCTGGCAAAAAGTAATGGTACTTAAACTATTGCACTGATTACCCTCATCTCTGTTATATTTTTCCCCATGAATATTTGATGACACAAAGCCATCTTGAAGGACCAGCATAAGTGAAATTGGCGAGGAGGTTGTATGATGGCAGGCTTGTTATTGAGGAATCTATGTAGCAGAAATCCCTATGCCTGAAAAGATCGTGCAGTCACCTATCTTTTCAAGGCAGGTTCACATTGTAGATAAAGTCTCATTTTCTAAGGGTCCTGTTCTCTGAAGCAACAGGCATTTGCTTTCCATTGCCTACTTTCATGAATTAAGTAAAGGATGTTGTCCTACATGATCTCAGTGCAGAGGAATGGGGCATGCTTAAGGAGTAAAACATTGCTTCTTGACAATTCTGATAATCTTTTCAATCTTTACAGAGCGAGGAACTGCAAAGCTAACAGTAGCAGGAGTTCTAAGGCTCTCACAACAAAACACATGCAAAACTTCCTAAGAATTATGTCTTTCACAGTGTGTGGTCCTTTGCCTAAACACTATTTGACAGAACACAAAAAGTTTACTTCTGTGATCATAATAATCACTCCCTTTGATGAAGGGATTACAAGATGCTAGGTTCCTCCAGCTTCTCAGAACTTTAAATTACTATAGAATTCAGAACTTCTAAAACTGATACTGATTATCTGATATTGTGATCATGCCTCAGTGGAGAATTTAGAAAGGGAAAAATCTCTGTGAGGAGTGCTGTCGTGCTGCATCACGTATGTCCCAGGAAAACAGATCAGACATGGCAGGCCTGCTCTGACTCTTTGCTATGGGATTCAACTCAATATTTTGCACCTCTTTAAGAATCAAAGTATGTTCTGTAGAATACAATTATAAGGAAATATCTTTTGTCGGAAAAGCTCTCACAGAACTTTCATCAGCAATTAAGGAGTCCAAAATTGTATTGCGTTATCTATTCTTGTATCTTCTCATACCTTCATAACAGGCAGCCTAAATTCTCAGTCTCTAGGCTGCATTCACCTCACCTGGATAATTCTGGGTGACTGGCTCACTGAATACGTGAGCCACAAGCAAGATGCAGTGCTCTGATAGCAGCAGTTGCCCATCCCTGACTCCCCATCATATGGCAGGTGCACATCCAGCCTTGTGATGGCAAAGGCAGAGAAACCCATGAGAAAGACAGTAGCCAAGATTGAGTTGCCAGAATAATTCCTCCACCCCAAATGCTCTCTGAGCCCAGGAGAACACACAGCCTGACTGCATTACCTGCTCTGCTGGCAAGAAGCATGCAAACACATTGATGGTCAGGGCAGCTGCAGCATATGGCCTGCTCTGAGACGGCAAACTGCAGCATTGCCCTTCTCACTGAAAGCTTGATGTCATTCCTTTGTGTTATGCATTCCATACTGACACAATCTGCACAAGAAATCTAAAACCTGCCTCTTTGCAAGCATCCAATTTGTGGAGTTTTTTTCTCTGTTCACAATAGTCAGCTACACTGTATCTAGCTGCTAAAACAACCCATTTCCTGATAATGGGAAACAAGAAGATTACAAGGCAGATGCAGAAGGCCATATGCAGGGAAAGCACTAGATTTTTTCTCTCATGTAACGTGTGCATATTTAGAAGTACTTCAGTGAATATGCAGTATATCAAACCATCACCCTCAAGTCAAGTCAAAAATAGTAAATAGGATCAGAGACTTCTGCAGTGTTCACCATTTTGGGGTCAGGAGCTACCCTGACTCTTTTCTCAGTACAAGACTCCCCATTACAATGCATAAGCATCCCAGTGAATTCCAAGTGCAAGAACTTAGACAGAACATTGCTTTGGTTTAACAACTCATTATTTGTAAATGCAGTCACTTGATTTCATTAATTTAGCAGAAGAGAGTTGTGCTTGGTTGATCTGTCTTGCCACAAGGCTGATGGGCACCCACCATGCCAGGGGACAGCATCCCTCCCGCCCAGCTCCCAGCAGCTTCCTCCCCACCATGCTGCAAGCTCCCACATGGCATGCATGCACACCTCAGGGCTGGTGATGGGAGAACCTGCTGCACTTCACGCAGCTCTGCTGTGCCAGAACTGGCCTTGATATGCAAAGCCTGATCTTCCCAGAGCACCGCTACTAAGAACATATTTCCCATTATATGTGCACTTTAGTTTTTAAGGAGTGTTAATAGATCCTGTCTCACGGCCCTACGCAATCACCTCTTTTCTAGACAAACCCAGAAGTGCCATTCTCACTCTCTTTAGCAGAAAGGGCATAAAGTAGAACACTATCAACACAGTCACCACACATAGGGTAACTGGTATTACAAAAATCACACAAATATAGAAACTATGGAAAGAGCGAAAGAGCTTTTCAAACAGAACCTGGAGACAACTTTGCAAGTTTAATTCAGAGCCCTTCAAGGCAAGCAAGTTTTTTATTCTCATTATTCTCTGCCCAGGAAGCATTTATCACTATGAATTTGTGAAATAGAATAAAAAGAGGAGATCAGACTTGCAGGAAAGCCTCTCCCTTTCCTACAATCTGTTAAGGACAGAAAGGAAAGGATATTTGTGTGTGTGTGTAGGAGAGAAAAGAGGTTTGAGGTGGGGGAGTATGCTGAAGGAAATACAAATACAGTTTCACAGTGGAAGTGTGAGTGTGAGAACACAGGATCTGTACTTTATCTAATACCCTTGCAGTTTCCATCAGTATATAAAGGAAAATGAATTCTGCTAATTTAAAACATCTATAATGACTTGCAAGAAAAGGAAACAAACTTCTATTGAAACTTTGGGTAAAAATGTTGGAAAATTGATTGCCTTTTTTACTATTAAGGCAAGGCGATTACATTAGAAGTTCTCTTACATTAACCTATCCTAATTTAAAAGTACATAGTGAACTAAGTTCTTTTTGTAACTTTTAGAACAAAAAATATGTTCTATTATGACCGTATTCTTATTTAACTTTTAATACTTAACTACGTGATTTAAGTATATACATACACATATGTGTTAATCTCAGCAAAAATGAAGTTTGGAAATGATGTCTGAATGAGAGTTTCATTCAGCAGGGGCTCCTCAAGTGCAGGGCCTGGCCCTCTGCAGGTCCCAGTTCCCACATACGATTTGAAAGTAGGGCAGCCTTTCTGGCACATGCCCCAGCATTGCCATATCTGCTTAAGGTCATCATTCTGTACTCCAAATTACTTCAGTTTTCTCCTTGCCAGGCTAGAATTTAGTAATGATCCCTATTGTCTCTACCACCATACTTACATTGAACGTCATTTATCATGCAAACATTCCTTCACTCCAGCTTGCTTCATTGGAGAATAGTCCATACGATCTCTGAGTAAGACAGAACTCTTCAAGATGGATTTTGAAAGTAGTATAGCAGATGTTTAATGGAGAAAAAGATTTCTGCAGTAAAGCACATGCTACTGAAGTCAATAAAACTTACAGAAAGAAAACTGTATTTAACTGAAAGAATGCAAATATTCAGAATTTAATTACTGATCTGCAGTTTAACACCAGCGATAGTACTATTATCAATACCATTTAATATAAAGAAAATGGCATTTCAGAAAAGATTGTGTCCACAGTTTTGGACATGAAAAAAAAAAAAAGCACCATTCAGTGCAGACATGACCACAAGCTGCATGTCGGAACTGCATCAGGCAACTGGGGATCCCACATTGCTAATGTAGCAGCTTTACTCCTCAGCAGCCCCACCTCTTCTGGTAAATCTCACCTGCCTCTGGAATGGTTTCCCTGCATTAGTTCAGCTCAGAAACTGAAATGAAAGCAGGAAAAGAAATCAATGAGAGGCTTAGTCAATATGGCAAGCCTAATGCATTAGATTGTTTTGCTCAATTAAATTTCTTTTCCTTAACTTAATTTAGGTAACCATCAGGTAAAGGATGAAAAAAATAGCTATGTACAGTTAATGCAACAGAAGCTATCAACTGATTTAAGCAGCTGGCCAAAGCAGTTAGCAATGCATCTATCCTTTGGTTCATTTTTTCCCTAGATCTACATAATACATGCATGAGTTATATTTTTATATAAAGCACTAAACCTAATGGCTGGTTAGTTCAAATACAAAACTGTTCTGAACAAATTCATGAAGTTCTGAGATCTGGTATGGGTCCCAGAAATACCCATCTGTCAATACATTTTAGTGGTCCCCACAGTCTCATACTGAAAAGTCTAAAGACTCTGCATTTAGAAAGGGCTGGATAAATGCTAGCAATTGCTTGGAACTATTTATTGATACAATATTCTGAAAATGAGGAATTTTTTTTTTTTCAGAATCTTAGATGTAATAGTGCTGTCAACTGCAGTAAACAGCTAACATCTTTTTATTGTTTTCTTTCTCTACAGGTATACCCAGTATTTCCAGTATTGGTAGTAAGTAAAAAGACACAGTATTGTTTTGCATTTTCATTCAGCTTCTTGGATCTAGTTTCCCAACATCCCTCTCTGTTGTAGATGATGTTTATCTGAAATGTGCTCTACAGTGAAGGGGTTATGTACTGGCTTACATTAACATGTAACTGTATTATATGGTCAGAGAGAATGTCACTCCTAACAACGTATCTGCCTTCAAGCACAGATTTTCGGATGCATTCTTATTGGCAGATGAAAGATGAGCGCTGTAAAAATGAGCATTGTGCAGAGAATTAAAACTTCCACAGAAAATATTTCTTGAGTATATTTTGTAAAAATGTTTACTAGTAACAGGGAAGTATAGGACAATTAATTTTCATGTGTTTATGTATAAATTCAAAGAGAGAACAGAAGATTTTTAAAAACACTTCATTTTTGTGCAGTAGCTTAGTAAATGTAGTATATCTGTTCAAATCTTTAGATTACCACCAGTGGCCTTTGAACTGGGCTTTTCTGCACAGAACAGATAGAACTGTGTTCCTTGTAAAAATAATCCTGCTTTTCTGTATGCATATAAAGCTTCAAAATATTACACCAAAACTATGATAAAATCATAAGGTTGTAATGTTAAGAACGAGCATATCAAGGAAGTAGCAGGTTAATCATGTCAGACCACTTAAACAAAGGAAGAACATAGAACTGAGCTCTGTGTCTCAGCTGAGTTCCACAGCAGACAAGTGCACACAGTCAGGGCATGTCAGCTGCTTACAAATAGAGTGCAGGGCTAGAAATCTATCATGCTGTGACTGACTGAAAGAATATTTCCCACAGCCTCAGCTTTGCAGAAACCTTAGACGCAACTTCTATGAGATGCAGGACTATTAAAATGAGAAAATATCATCGTAGTAAAATACAATTTGCCATACCTGATATCCAGCTGAAAAGCTTCTAATAATTTGGATAAAACTGCCTCACTTCTTTTGATGCATAGTCAGGTCTGCCAATTTATAAATCAGCTCAGTTTACGGAAGCTCATGAATAGCACTGATTTGTTAAACTCTAGGCAGCAAGCTAAATATCATCGAAACTAGCCTCCTCGTAAATAAGAACAGTGCTAACAGCTGAATACCATGGCATCTGTTTGGTAGCTTTAAATATTGAAGCAGCATCAATGACAATAACCTGAAACTGAGAGCCTTCGATTTGAATAATGTAATTTTCCTGCTTCAATATCTCCTTTGACACTTTCATGACTGAAAATGGATAGTGATACGCTATTTTAAAACCATGTTTTTATACATATATTTTATAACAAAAAAAAAGAACTACATGGAAGAGAAGAGTAAGTCTATATTGGTGTTATCAGAAATATCCTGCCATTAATAACAGACATGGGATGAATGGGAAAATAGGTCTTTGGAGTATGGTTGTGCTGTATTTTCTTATTGCTGTGTTGCATGGACTAAATACTTGTGTTTTCACTTCACGCTCCATACAGCCTTTGTCACCACATCTACCATTTCTGAGCATCAGCAGATGTTGGCCTTTGAAAACTTAACAGGGAAACTCAAATACTTTTTAAGTAATGGTGACCTGAAAGGATGCAATATTGACCTCTTTGTGTTTTAAACTGGGTTGATTAGTACTGTTTATCTATTAAAAATGGAGAAAAATCTGTTTAACATTCCATAGGAAATTGAAAAATTAGTGCAAGTTTATGCTTTATCTTAAATGTGCTATAAATATCTTGGACTAATATGTGGTAGAATTCAACAAATTTCTTTATTTACCTGGAAAGGCTGAAGCACGAACATCTCTTCGCGAGCATAAGTAAATACTGATATTCTGCTTGCTTTTTTTCATGCTTTTCTTCTTAAATAGCTCAGGGGAAAAACAGCTCTACTTGCACAATCTTCTGAACATCTTTACTATAGGATAGAAACAACAGAATTATCAGTTAAACAAGGATAGAACCCATAAATATATTCTTGTCTCTAAGAGAATTTAACAGAATTACAATTAATACATAAAACCAAAGAAGATTCAATAGTTGTGGCTGCTTTAATGGATACTGCATTACTTCTTTTGTCTATGCTATGCTTGTGTTCAAATCAGCAGAGTTTCTCCCTAACTAGGGACAGGAGTTTATTCTCAGGAGATACCATTTGGGTTTTATTTTGCCTGACAGCAAACATTACTACGGGGATATTGCATTTTGTGTTCTTCAAGCTTTTTCAAGTACATAAGAAGGGGACAGGAGGAAGGGAACGAATGTAAACCAAACTGCCAGCAAACAAATCAGGTGCCACTGCAATCAGTGTTCTCTGAAGACCCAAATGAAAGTATCCTCAAAGAAAACTACGATATATTTTACTGTGTGCACATACACACATTATTCTCTATTCCTTTTATATTTCAATCATATTGTATTAAAGCAGATTATCATTAGATTGAGTACAAAGAAAGAATGGTCATTAAGTAAACATCCTTTCTGATCATCTAGAAAATAAATAAATAAATACGAGCTTTCCTATTAAGGTCATTTGTACTTGCTGCTGTCTATCAGTTGAATAATAGGTTTCCAGTCACTTCCAGCATTCTAGATTTCAGTGCTGTCCCTTTCAGCATTTTTCAGCCATATCTGCAAGGATATTTGGTGAGAGCATTAGCAATTAATGAGTCCCAAAACCATTTCATAGTTGTAAAATTTATGATTAGCAATGCTTACACATAATACTTGAACATTCTGAAAACTGCATTACTTTACTTGCTAAAATAACCATTGTATAATTTTACATAGACCAATGCATCAAAATATTTGTTATTGTGACCACATACAAAAATTACTAGTTCGTACATGTATGCCTTCAGAAACCTGAATCTTCTAACCTATAGCTTCTATCTTTATTCCTGTGAAGCATAACACCACTAATTATGCTAAACAGTTTGTTATAAAGGGTATAATTAGATACAGGATAAGATAGACATGATGTGCAAATAGCTCTGTGTGGGTGATTATCACCTTAAAGCCTGCTGGTGGCAGATGAGTCAGAGTTTAGAGACAGACCGTGCACCCAAGTGCAAGGTGGAATCAAGATATTCAAATGGCATTCTCTGCTTTGTTCCCTATATTTTTATTCTTCTTTACAGCCAATTTCAAATTAAGAGAGCTTTTTTTGGAATGATAATGAATATAAAACAAAATAAAATAAACCTTGAACGGGCATTCTTATTTTATTGGTTTCTTAACCTTGAAAGATATGGTGGATATCTTTCTGCATTTAAAATAGTGTTAGGATGAGTGTAACTTTATTTGTTTAAAATATTTATTGTGATATTTTGAAGTGAGAAATATAAATATTATAAAATTGTGAGAGCAAATACTAGAAATCTTATTTTTTTAAAATCACACTGGAAGTATTTAGGACCTGATTTCATCCCCTTGCACCAAATCAAGAACTTCTCTCACTAAACTTGCACTGGGATCAAAGTTATTAGAGTGCCAAGCTCTGGACTAGATTATGTACATAACATCCACATATGTCAGTAGGATTTAAATATGCATAACTAGGTTGTAACTGTAATTAATTGAGAACAAGTTCTACAGAGAGAACTGAATAGTTAAGAAACCATGAACCTACAAAATCTTTTATATAGTTTCCAGATTGTAATGTGTTGGATATATTAGCAAAATATTCCTATTTCAATTCAGTTTTAATGAAATCTGACTTTTTACTAAATAACACTGTAAATCAGACACATAGTCTAAGGCAATCACTTTATCTGAATAAGCAGTTACAGGAAGACAGTATTTGTTTTCTCACTGTTACTCTAATAACTCTAATAACTCTAAGAGCCCAGAATTTTTCACTTCAAGTTTAACAATTAGGCTTTCTATGATA